AGCCACATGGGAATATGCATAAGAAGTTAAGACTTGTTATCCGGACTACATAATCAGACTTGAGGACTAGTCCAATCTCAAAGGGGAGGGCTTTGATATAGCCCAATAGATACCAACACAACAACCAGCCCACGTGGAAGATCCAGAAGCACCAACAAGACCCAAAAGAGCTATTGAGAAGCCTAGCATATTCAGGGATTAAACGTGCACAATTACTAGGTAAATTCCTTACCTTGAAAGTCTCCCACTTCTGTCAAAATCCCTTGTAATTCCTCTTTAGTATTTCCACTTTATAGTAGTTAGAATCATGTTTCCATGTTCCTATATTTTAACTTGCATTTTCTTTGATCAATTAGTATTTAAGTTTTTAATTTGGTTTAGTTGAATATCATAAAATTTTGCTCAAATTACCTGTCTTCTTTTCTTGTTTATTGGGAGATTGATCATCTAAAATTGATCCTTATCAAGGAGATTTCGAAATGGTATTTTATTTTGTGAAGTGGTTCCATCTAAAAAAATTATTTTTGATGATATTGTCATTATCTTGTTTAATTGGTTTGTCCATGGAAAGTTAGAACTAATTGGGTTGATTGACTTCAAAATCAAATTTTAGCTATCTTTTAGTAATTTCTAGCCGCTTGATAGTTTCCTGATCCTCCCTATTAAATCAAAAAAAAAATTGTCACATGTCTTTTTCTCTTTCACTTGAACACATGATATTTTATAAAATTTTTGAATTTTTTACTTTCATTTGTCATTTTATTGTATTTTTCATTTTATTAAATTAAAATTTCACATATTATATTTAATATGTAATGTATTTATTAAAAATGGTTTATATATGTAATGTATTTAATGTATTAAAGCCTCATTAATTTTAATAATTTAAAAAAAAAATCTTATTTTTTTTTATAATTCAACCTTCTCAATTTGTTAAAATTTTATATTTAGTTTTTTAAAACAAACTCATATAATACATGATTTTACACTTAATTAATATTAACTTGTTTGAATATTAGTTCAATTTTTTTTTTTACGGTAGTATCGTTTCTTTGGAAATGCTTCTACCAATGTGGCACAAAAAGGGCCTGTGCATTACCCACTTGTATGCTGACGTACCACACATGTGTTCACATGCTTAGACTTTAGAAATTTTTAGAGTGTGACCACGTTTTAATCATACATTGGGAAGGATATCAAGGGTACACCAAATCTCATGTCCCCTCACAGGAGTAAGAAAATTGACCACTCAGAGGGACCCATGCACGTTTCAGTGGGATCCACCCTGCTTCATATATGAAAATAATGTCTCCTTCAAGTGACACCAATCTGATACTCCCACGTGTAGTGTGGCCCGCAGCATCTCATAACATACGGTTGAAACTCAGCCGGGATTAACTAAACCGAACCAAAAAGCAAAAGGTAAAAGTAATTGAACCGATATTATGTTCGCATTTAAACCGGTACTGACGTCCGGTTCGTTTGATATTTGCATATTGGTTTGAGAGTTTGATTTTAAACTTGTTATATGTGAAATATATATTTTATATTTAAATTATATATATATAAAAAAAAAACTTAGTTTGGTGTGGTATTCGAACATAATATGAACAAGCAACGGAGTTTTTAAGGATTTTAAGTTGAAAACCAAACTACACTCTATTATACAAAGTTAGAATCAAGAACTTCAAAGAGAAAATCTAAGTTTATGACTTCAACGTCAATAAATATATTATTAAAAAATATTTTATCGTTTTAGTTATTTTAACACTTGACTCTACAAATAATACTAGAAGCTATATACTGAACAATAAAGCAATTATTGAAACACAAATCATGAACAATAAATCAATTGTTGAAACGCAAATCATGAAGCACTGAATGGCAAACAAAAAGCTACCAAATAAAAACTTAATGTAACGACTTAAAAATCACAACAAATTTAAACTTTTAAGAAAAACTCAGAATCATAAAATATTTACAAAATCATTGTTTCCAAATTGTTTATCAATATGAAAGGATCCTAAAATCATAAAGCCATAAAACAAAGGATTTGTACGGTCACATCTTCGTCTTTCTGCGATCATCAAAAGTACGTGAAACAATAAACTAAAAACTGTAAGCCAAAGCTTAGTGAGTTTCCCCCAAATTACCACCACATACAATGTATCAAACAACAACATGCGTGATGACGTGCCTAAGACGGCACGACAGAATCGCGCCTAGCTAAAGTGCCTAGCACACCAGCGGGCTCAGCGCCCGCCAGCGCTCCCAGGAAAGGAATACCCAGGAGAAGGGCTCGCGCCCGCCAAGGGACGCTCCTAGCTCTAAGACAAAAGATACGGTCAGGAGACAAACAGTAGAATCAGGCCATTACTGTCAGGGACAACGAGAGCGCCCTGACGGCTGAAGGTGCACGACCCTCCAATCAACGCCCTTGATCTTGTCTCCTAAAAATGATCTTGTCTAGTACGGACTGGGAAAGAGCGCTAGGTATAAAAGGATATGCTCTCAGACTCAAGAGGTGAGTTCTTCTCTCTAAAGAACATAACCAAAAATCCTATAAACCTTCTAACTTGACCGTTGGAGCGTTTTTCCGGGAGCACCCTCCCGGGAAACGACTGACAGCCCCTTTTTTCTTGCAATCTTGCAGAGACGGCGAAGACTCTAGTTGTGCAACACCGATTCAATCTGACTTGACCGCCTCGCAGGGCCTACATCCTATCTGGAATGCCCCCGAACTTTTAGCATGACTGGACCACCTCTCAGAGCCTATAGTCTATCCGGACCGCTAGCCGACATTCGGCCTAACTGGACCGTCTTGCAGGGCCTATAGTGTATCCGGACCGCCCTGGGTATTTTGGCCTTCAACACAAATAGGATCGCCTCAACCCAACCAACCATAACATGTCGACTTACATATAACAAATAAACATATAACCAAGAATTAGACAAACAGAAAGATTTACAAATCACTATTGCGTGCTAACATCCTATATACCAGGATACTGATCTAACAGATCTCAACAGCATAATAACATACCATCATAGAATAGGATATCCAATCCACTGGCCTGGCCTTGGTGCTTTCGACTCGTAAGTAAAGTGAGGAAGACTCACCTCACACTTGACGAAAAACCAGTCAATACTCTGATCCCGAAAACTGGCTCCACCCAAGTCCTAAATGTCCAAACTTTTCCTATTAATAAAATAATCATAATTTCCTAAATTACCCTTGGTCAAACTTGGTCAGAGCTAACAACTCAACTGAGTCAACCCAGGCGAGTTAACCCAATCGAGTCAACTCAGCCGAGCCGACACAGAACATGTACGCAGGGCGTACTCCAGAGGTATGTGGAGCATACTCTAGCTTGAATGTGATATGGGTGGTTGACTGAGTACGTTCAACGTACACATAGGTATGCACAATGTACTCACAAAACTTCTCTTTTCACATTAAGAGCTTAATACTTCAACTTAATGCGTCCAATTGCAGATCCAAGGCCAAAATATCACTAAGAGTCATAAAGTTTCCAACTTTATGACTTTGCATGTCCAATAAGTGTTTAACTCAACATCTTAATGCATTAAGACCTTCTAAAGAATACATGGAGCAAAAACAACCATCAAGACCACATTTTTATAACTTAAGACCCTTCTTACGGTCTGAAAGGATGACTTAATGGGTCAAGAACATGCCATGCTCAAGAATCACCATTTTGGGACAAAAACTGACTTAAAGGAATGAAATGCCTAGATCTACAAGATGGAGTGACCAAGATGAGAACTTTATACCTCCAGCTAATGTCAAATGCTGAAGTGGTTCTGGATCTAAGGTGCTGAAGTCCTCCAAGATTATTTTTAGTTCCTTCCTTCTTCTTCAAGGCACCGAAACACTCACACACAAGCTCCAATATGCTCTAAAGGTGGATTAGGGTTGCAAGAATGTTTTAAGGGGATGCATGCTGATGAAAATAACCAAGGTTGAGAGTTAATGAAGAATAAATACGGTCTAAACCCTAAATATTAGGGTTTGGGACTTCACCCCGTACGCCCTACGTATGCAAAACGTACGCCCAACATACGTGGATCCGCCCCAACATTCTGAAAGTGGCAATAATAGCCCCTCCCAGCCACAAGTCTTACATTGTAAGGACAAAAATATAATAAATCTCCATGAAATGGTAAAAAATTAAAGTATCTCAAAATAGGTTGTTACACTTAGGTTAGATTCAATTCATTTCGGTGAATAGGCTTTCGACACTTTAGTTTCCGAGTCCATTTTGGAGAAGGGACACAAAACATAAAATCAATGCCATATTAAAATTTATGTATATGTTTTTTTATATATATTTATTATATTTAGATTTTCTATTTTGATATTTCTATAATAATAATAATAATAATATATATATATATATATATATATATATATATATATATATATATATATATATATATATATATATATTGTTTTTTGGCTTTTTCCATTTAAGAAATAATTGACGAATATATCATCCTCAATTTTCTGAACGTGATTCTATATTCATTTTGTTAATTTATTTTTCATTTTTTTTTATTTTTAAATAAATTTTTCATATCATTTACTCTTTAAAAAAAACAAAAAAAACATTGCTCACACATTTAACTAACGACTCTTGCATGTGAGAAACAACTAACTTTTACAATCCCAATTTCCCATTTATATATATATATATATATATATATATATATATATATATATATATATATATATATATATATATATATATATATATTTTGGTCCAAATGTTTCCAGTAAGTATTGTGTGTATTAATGCACCAATCACAATTTAGCAAATTATTTATTAATTAAATAAATTAAGGGTAAATTAGTAAATTTTGACTCTAAAATTATGGTAATTGAGATAAATGGGGGATTTGATTTAAAATCACCAAAATAAATATGTGGACCTAATAATCAAACCTTCAGATTTCTTCCATTCGTTCGTCCTTCAGAAATGTTCTTCCCCCTTATTAACCCTCCAACGATCAAAGAAGAGAGGAGGGTCAGACCTCATTCATAACCCTCCTGCTATTGAAAAAGAGAGGACGTCGGAGTTGGAATTATTTGTCGGCAGTCGATTCTATTCCCATCATAGGTTGCATCACCATCAATCAATACCATTACCGCCTCCACATTTTCTCTTGTCCATGATTATCAAAATATTGTTATTAGTGGGTTGAAGATGATGATTTGCTTTCCGTTCTTGCCTACCATTCTCGATTTCCAAGTATCGGCTTTTTGGAGATATTTCCTTCATGTAAGTATTTTTTTTCCAAGCCTCAGTACATTGTTGGCTCTTTACATACTTTTCTTCAACGGTTTATCTTATCACTGATTTTTTCATATGGCTTCTTGTTAGATCGATGTGGAAGTAGCTTAGATGCAATCACAAACATTGTATCAATAGAAATTGGTGATATTCTGTTAAAGGTATTGTTACTCATTTAATTTCTCTCTTAATTCATACATGGTGATAATGATAAATAATGATTTCTTGATTGTTTCAAATGGTGATAAATAATGATTATAATGTAACAGGATGAATCTGATAACACAGTGACATCAGTGTATTCACTAGAAGCTGAGTTTGCAAGATTTTTATGGGTTTTTGGCATGAACACTTATGAAATTCTCAAGGAACATAAAAACTTAATTGCTTGTAGTTACAGGTAATTAATTAAGTATTTTGTTACTTAAACTTTTCCATCACCTCATTTATCATATTCATTTCATCTATGTTTTTTCGTATTTTTTTTATTTTACTTCCGATCACACTAACCCTTTCACAGGATTTTGGCTTGTTTGATGATAATGCCTAACATGTGTTTGTTGAAATGCCTGAAAGAGAATCTAAAGAATTTAACCTTGTGGTATGCGTTCTGTAAGTCCTTTATATCTCTCTCTCCTTTTGCAATTTTGATTCTTTCGATTGGATAATTACCACAAATTTTTTATTATGGGTGTATCCTTATGAATATCAAGCACCAAAGGAATAATCTTTAATTAGTAGCGGTAGCAAAATCGCCTTGGTATCTAATATGATGAATGCAATTCTGTCAGAATGGAATCTCGAATTCCAATTATGTTAGAATGGAATCTTGGATTCCAATGATTATGTTCTAATTCAACATAAGCATTGAATTTTGTATGAGCTATCATGTCTAAAACTTGTTATTTTTTCTGCACTTACTCATTAGTTTGTTCATTTTCTTCAATTTTTACATATGAGTTTTGGTGTAATTCACGACTTTCATTCTATTACAATATAAATATTGCATAAAACAAGTGTTTCTAGTAATTCTGACAGGATACATTTATATATGCTTTAGAATGTTTATGCATATAAAAGAAAAGACTATGGTTTTAGTGCATTCTGTAATGTATTCTATTAGAGTGTATTTATATAAATGCATTCTGTTAGAATGTCTTTGAGAATGTTTGTTAACAACAAATATATTTGTTTAACTGGTAAGAGCTACTAACGAGTAATGTATCTTATTCTTTCATAATTGCATGGAGAATGAATTCAATATTGATTATACAAGAGAAATATTTGGAATCGAATTCAACAACAAGTATATATGTGAAGATCAAGTTGATTATATGGACCATTGAAGATGATCAAATGTATTTGTTCAATAATTGTATATTCAGGAATGTTATTTTCTAAGAATTGTATTCATTTTTTTATGATATTCAGTTAGAATATGTATAAGTATATTAAATTGAATAAGGATATTAGTCTGTAAAAATATGTATGATTTTGTATTTAATTTCGGATGTATATTAAGAATAAAATCATAGACCCAAGTTGGATGTATATAAATAATATCTTATTCTTAAATCAGGTCAACTATCAAATATTAATGCACTGAAAATGTATTCTGCAAGAATAAAATTGAAAATATATTTACTAGTTTATGATTTGCATTCTGTCATTCTGACAGAATAAAATCGGATTTTTAAATTTGAATTGATTCAAAATATTCAGGTTTTAAAAAATAAAGGAATAAATTATCCCTTAAAATCCGGATATTTCCTTTTTTAATATACGTAAATTGTCCAAAATACCCTTATGCTGAAAATTATGTGATTATATGGTGCATGTTAGCCTATTGTAATATCATAGACTTTCAAATCATGACCTTTGATTCTATTCCATCCGGTGGTCCAGATCAGTGCATTATGGTACACAATAGTTAGTAAAACAAAATAACCTAACTCTATATATATATATATATATATATATATGTGTGTGTGTGTGTGTGTGTGTGTGTAACGATGAGATTTTCAAAACAAATTTTCTTTCATTTTTCAACATCCAAATTTTTAAATATAAAACATTCTAAAAAATTAGTCCACAATAGTTATCAAATCAAACATATCCCAAGATCATAAATCAAATGTACTCATGGTGTGTATAGTTCACGTCGGTGCCTTTCCACGGTCTTCGCTACTACCTGAAATACATAACACGACAACTATAAGCATAAATTCTTAGTGAGTTCCCCAATATACCACATACAACACATACGCCACTCGAGGATACTGTACGACCCTCTGGCCGATGTGTCTCAGTCGGACCCTCCAGTCCCGTAGCTCGTTGGACCCTCTAGTCCGGTCATAGCTCGTTGGGCCCTCCAGCCCGGTCTAAATCGTTGAACCCTCCGGTCTGGTTTATACAATTATATATCATACTTACATCACATAGCACCTAATCTCATATATGGAACACAATCTCATACATAGCACATAAGACCTTCCGATCAACTCATGATACCACTCTAGGTAACGTATAGTGAGAAGACTCACCTCGTGTAACTTGGTAACTCGTAAATCTTGGACTCCGTGAAATAGGATCTAGCCTCCGCCTAATCATATGAAAATAAACACTTGGCATCAACACATTTCCCAAGGCTAGACCATTCCCTCTCTTAGCACTCTCATGAGGGTAAAAGACCATTTTACCCCTCTTAAGGCTCAATTACTCTAAAGTTGACCAAACCCTAAAAGTCAACGGTGAACCTTTTGACCAGACTCGCCGAGTGTACTATTGTGACTCGGCAAGTTCAGCCATGAACTTACGTCCTCAAAATCCCAAATGACTCACTGAGTCACTTCCCCAACTCAGCAAGTTACCATCTGTGTGATTTATGGGGAAAACCCATCCTACTCGCCGAGTCTGTTCTTGGACTCGGCTAGTTCAAGCCATGCTTAAACTTAAATGACCTCCTGAGGTCAGATCCGTTCCTCTAACCCATAGATCTGGCCTCCTTAAGCAAAATAAACACGTAAAGTTTGGATCTTGATGCCCATGCAAAGACCTAATGGCTCTTATTTGAAGAAATGGCCCCAAAATGCCATCCCAAGCTCTTAACTCCCAATGACACTCATAAAGATCGAGGATTTATGGTCTCTGGACCACTTTGGATCCAGATCCAAAGTCTGAACACAAGAAGGGACCAATTACACCACAATCCATACTCTAAAGGGGCTAGAAACCCTAACTCTCAAAGATTAACACCAAACTGAAGAAGGATCGAAATATATACCTCAGAATGAAGTTCCTAGCCTCTGAAATCCATAGAATATCGCCCTCTTTAGTCCCCTCTTGCCTTCTCCACCTTCTTCTTGCAAAAACACCCACACAAGGATCAAAAATGACCTCTTCTTCCTCACAAACGCTCTGGATCTCTTACGGTTCCTCTCAGGGGGTTTGGTAGCCGCAAATGGTGGCTATAAGCCCCTTTAAATAGGTCTGAAACCCCGACAATTAGGGTTTCATTAAACATCATGGACTCACCGAGTCCACGAATGGACTCGCCAAGTCCGCCTTTAAATCAGTCTGACCATCCGCGCTCCTACTCGGTGAGTCTGAGCGCCTACTCGCCGAGTCTCTCTCCAAAAACTCAATATTAAAGCATAAAATAAGATACCTGGGAGTCCGGATGTTACAATTCTCCCCCACTAGAATCAGACTTCGTCCTCGAAGTCTCATTCTGCAAACAACTCTGGATGCTGCTCACGCATCTCTCGCTCCGGTTCCCAAGTCAGCTCAAACCCCCTCCGATGTTGCCATTGGACCTGCACCAGGGGCACTTCCTTGTCCCTTACAACCTTGACCTTCCAATCCATAATCGCAACTGGTCTCTCAACGTATTTCAGACTCGCATCCACCTGGATATTCTCTAACGGTACCACCGTCGACTCATCGGCCACACACTTCGTCAACTGTGATACGTGGAAAGTGTCATGAATCTGACCTAACTCCACAGGTAAATCCAAACGATATGCTACTCTGCCCACCCTCGCGATCACCCTAAACGAACCAATATACCGGGGCCCCAGCTTGCCCCTCTTCCTGAAACGGATCACTCCTTTCCAAGGAGACACCTTCAGGAGCACAAAATCCATGACCTGAAACTCGAGCTCCAACCGATGCCTATCCGCGTAAATCTTTTGGCGTCTCTGAGCGGTCAATAACCTATGTCTGACCCACTGTATCTGCTCTGTCGTCTGAAGCACTATCTCTGTACTACCCATCACACGTTACCCTACCTCACCCCAGCAAATGGGGGTCCGACACCTTCTTCCATACAACAGCTCAAAGGGTGGCATATCAATGCTTGAATGATGGTTGTTGTTATAAGAAAACTCAGCCAAGGGCAAATACGTGTCCCAACTCCCGCCGAAATCCAGTATACATGCCCGAAGCATGTCCTCGAGCGTCTAAATCATCCGCTCGCTCTGTTCGTCAGTCTGTGGGTGGTATGCGGTACTAAAATGCAGTCTCGTACCCAATTCCTCATGAAATTTCTTCCAGAATATGGAAGTGAAACGCACATCTTGATCTGAGAAGATTGAGATCGGTACTCCATGTCGCGATACCACCTCCCTAACGCATAACTCTACCAGCCTCTCTGCGGAAGAGCTCTCACTGATGGCAAGGAAGTGAGTGCTCTTCGTCAACCTGTCCACAATCACCCAAATTGCATCGACACCCCTAGCAGTCCTCGGCAATTTGGTGATAAAATCCATGGTAATCTGTTCCCACTTCCACTCGGGAATCTCTAACGGCTACAACTTACCATGCGGATGCTGGTGCTCGACCTTAACCTTGCGACAGGTCAAGCACCTTTCTACGAACTATGCAACATTCCTCTTCATACAGGGCCACCAATACTCCTTCTTTAGGTCCAAATACATCTTAGTAGCCTCGGGGTGGATCGAGAACTTCGATCTATGCGCCTCCTCCATCAAGATGGTACGTGTTCCGCCCACAAACGGTACCCAAACTCGACCCTGAAAGGTCAGTAACGAACTCCGATACCTGCACGATCACTCGCTCCTTTTTGCGGTTCTCTGGTTTCACGGCCTCCGCCTGGGCCCCTCGAATGGTGTCCCACACCGGAGTCATCACTGTCAATCTCATGCAAACATCTCGTATCGGGGTGTCCTCTGCCCTACGACTCAGGGCATAAGCTACAACATTAGCCTTGCCCGGATGGTACAGGATCTCATAGTCGTAATCCTTTACCACATCCAACCATCTCCTCTGGCGCATATTCAGGTTAGCCTGATCCATCAGGTACTTCAAACTTTTGTGATCCGTGTATATGGTACACCGAACCCCATACAGATAGTGACGCCAGATCTTGAGGGCGAACACCACTGCCCCCAAATCCAGATCCTGGGTGGGATACCTCGACTCATGAGGTTTCAGCTGCCTCGATGCATATGTTATCACATGCCCCCTCTGTATAAGCACCGCTCCCAACCCTTATATCGATGCATCACAGTACACCAAAAAATCCTCCATCCCTTCCGGGAGTGCGAGCACCGGAGCTTCGCACAATCTCTGGCGAAGTGTCTCAAATGAGGTTTGCTGCTCCGAACCCCATGAAAAAGCAACACCCTTCCGGGTCAACTTGGTGAGTGGCACGGTGATCTTAGAGAAATCCCTGATAAATCTCCGATAATAACCAGCCAACCCAAGAAACCGATCTCGGTAGGTGACCTCGGCACCTCCCAACTCATCACCGCCTCGATCTTTGCTGGATCGACCAATATCCCCTTCTGGTTAACGAGGTGACCTTGGAACTGAACCTCCCA